TTAATTGGTACGTTGTTTGATTTTTCTTTAGTAATAATAGAATAGTACAATACATTGAATTTTTTTAATTTTCCTTTTGCATATGTATTATGTAATCATTTTAATTTTTTCTTTATGTGTTTGTTTTATATAATAGTATTATAGTACAATATCTTGAAATATATTATTATATTAATATGTGGTACACTATTTTTTGATTTTTCTCTTTATGCATGTGTATTATGCAATAGTAGTATAGTCATATATAGTTGTCTGGAATTAATTAGTAGAACTGTATACCCTATTGGTATAATTATATGTCATATTGGTATCATATGGTAGTTGGAATATTTTTTGGTTGTTTTAGCTACAATTTTAAGTGAATTCTATTCTGAAATGATTTATATGATCATATTTTGTTGTGTTAGATTTTCTTGTACCTATGGACATAGATTTTGTGTATTATGTAACAGTTTTTATAGTTATATGCAGTTGTTGGAACGACCCCGTACAACTATATACCCTATTAGTATAGCTATATACTATATTGGTATCATACGCTAGTTGAATCCTTTTTTGGTTGTATTAGTTGCATTAATTTGGTACACTATTTGATTTTCTTTTAATAATAGTAATATAGTACAATATCTTGAAATACTTTATTATATTAATATGCGGTACACTATTTTTTTATTTTTCTCTTTATGCATGTGTGTTATGTAATAGTAGTATAGTCCTATAATTACCGGAAATTAACCAATAAAACTGTATACCATGTTGGTATAGTTATATGTCATATTGGTATCATATGGTAGTTTGAACATTTTTTTGGTTGTTTTAGCTGCATTTTTAAGTGAATTCTATTTTGGAATTATTTATATGAACATGATTTGCAGTGTTGGGATTTTTTTGTGCCGATAGACATAGATTATGTGTATTATGTAATAGTTTTTATAGTTATAGGCAATTGTTGGAACGACCTCATACAACTATATACCCTGTAAGTATACGGAATGAGCAAGTTGCTTTGTGAATATTTAGCTTGCAATGCGAGCATGTAATTTTCTCACACTTTTATTGCATCATTTAATGTTTTGGTACAGTAGTATAGTCGTAGATAGTTGTAGCAATATTCTAGAGCAATCATATACTCTGTTGGTATACATGTATACCATATTGGTATCATATGGTACTAGAAGTTTTTTTTTATACTTATATTTTTATTGCATTTTCCAATATTTTATTATCATTCATATTCTAACTAGTATATATGGAGATTTGGTGGCCGTAGATTATGTTTTGCTCCATAACTGGTTGTGCTACTGCTAATGGTAGAGCGTGTACTAATATTTGTAAGGAAGGAGATCAAGGTTTGCATGACAATCACGTGAAATTAGAAAAGGAACAAGAAATTAAGAAAAGAAAAAAAATAAAGGAGTGAAATTTGAGTGTGAAATAAGTTATGGTAGAAATAACAATAATATGATTTGGACAAATATAAATGAATAAAAGAGAAAAAAGAAAAAAATTAGAAGAAAACGAGAAAAAAGAAAAGGAGAAAAGAAAGAAAAAAAGGAAAAAAGGAAAAAAAGAAAAGAAGCATAGAAATAAAAAAGAATTGGAGAAAAAGAGAAAATTCCCCACAAAAACTACTATGGGTAGGAAATGCAATTAGATTGATGGGTAGAAAAACAAATGGGCAGGTAAGGGTAAATAGTTTTGTTTTTGTGGGTAACTGTGTCATTCACCCTATTTAATATGGTTAAAATGGGTTAACCGACGGATAATATGGATATCCATATTATCCATGGCTTCTTGAATATGATCACTTTTGGGAAAATTCACAGTCTCCCAAACTTGAGGAATCCCCAATTTGAGGTTTTACAAATGTAAAAGTTAAACCCATTAGTTATCCATTGGTTATCTATTTTCTAAGTGGATAATATGGTTCTTATCCATATTTGACCCGTTTTTAAAATGTTCATTATCCGGCCCATTTTTTAATGGATAATATGGGTGAAAAACTATTTTCTTTTATTCATTTTACCACCACTAGTTCAAACCTTAGGATTTAGTTATTGGATACTTTTAAGATGAGCAATGATGCACAAATTTTCAGGACAAAGTAGCCAGGTTTAATTGTTGCAAAATATACTAAATCCTCAAAAGAACTTGGTGGTGCATGAGTCTACCATTAACTGCCAGTTGCATTTAATGAAGAACTAAAATACCTCTCCATGATAATATGCAGCTCCATTTCAATGCATGTCAAAGCATGCTAACCTTTTCCATTGATCAATTAGTTTACATATGTACTGTCAATATACGTTCAAGAAAAGAAAAAAAAATGATGAAGTGGAATTGACACATCACAGAGAGGTTGTGCATAAAATGATCAAATATATAAGCTTCAAGTTTTCAAGGCTTGACCAGCACCCATAAATGGCTTACTAAACCGACCATTTACACTTCAAATTGAGATCAATGTAGATAAAAGAACGCAATGAATATGATAATCAAGAAAAGCTATATATAGAACATACCTCAACAAATTTGAAATTGAGGTATAGATATAGAACATACCTCGAAATTTTTGAAATTGAGGCTTAATTGATTGATTGATCCATTTGTTTCACTCTAAATGAAAGGACCATGCTCTTCCTCCATTCGCATCGATTACCTTTGAAGACCCAGAATCATCCCTCTCCATTTCTCCAATTTTTCACAATTTTTCCTCATAGAGACATTTTCACAAACACTTCACCAGCACTGCCATGTACAAGAGCACTTCATCTCTTCAGGCTTCCCATCCAAAAAAAAAAAAACCAATTCATAGACCACCTTCAAATACAGACAGACCATCTCTCCTGCACATAAATGCAATTAACAGCCTTCTCCATTCTAAAAAATAGATCCAGTCGTCTCTCATCCAAACTACCATGCCAACTACTTCTCTGTTTTTGTAGTTCATGGTTTTTAAAGGGAAGAACGCAAGCAAAAAAAACGATAGGATTAAAAATAAAAAAAGAATGAAGGAGGAAAAAGATAAAAATTACATGGATTTTCCACGTGGAGTGCATGTTTCACCTAGCACATCATTTACCTGATTTTGTATCATGGAGTATTAGTTCATAACTCCATTTCAAACAAGAATAGAGGGTAATAAGTCGTTCGTGAAATTATGGTGTGTAAATAACTTTTTCGTACGAATATAGAATAATTTACGTATTTTTCCTTTGAATGTCCTTAACATAGGAGTAACCCATATGCAAAAACTATGGACCTGTTTTTACATAGTTTTTGTCAAAATAAATTTAGGTTTTATTTGGCAAACACATGTTTGCTCATAGATTTTGCCTACATTTTGGCAAAATCTCAAATCTCAAATCCCAAAACCAGCTCAATCCAAAATATCATTATTATATTTTTTAAAAATTGCCCCAAACTTTTGTATTTTATAAAAGAACCCACCATTTATTATTTTGTAGCAATACTGTTTCGTCTTCTCGGTCATCTGATAGTGTATCATATAGTTCAGTATAAAAATGATAATTTTGTATCAAATTTATTTATGTTCAGGACTATGGTTTGCGATAATATAATGAATGTTATTGATAATGGTACTATTGGATATTTGTGATAGTTTTTAGAACTTGTGGGTATAAGTCAAGTTTTATGTTTTTCCAAAATAAATTTGGGAAATATGTTTTGAAAACTGATGTCCAAACACATTTTCATCTTCAAACCAAATTTCACCCAAATCAGATTTTTCAGAATAAATTTAAAAACCTATGGCCAAACGCTAGTTATATATACAACAATAACATACTCAGTGAGTCAGTGTAATTCCGTACAGTGAGCTCTGGAGAGGGTTAAAGGGCGAACTTGAAGCTACACTCTTTCTTGTAAGGGCCCTTGGAGAAATTACTTATTTTACACGGTATACGCAGAATTTACTACTATCTTGTATAGGTAGAAAAACTATTTTTAATATACCTTCGGCTCAAAAAAAACAGAAGTACAACCATAATGGAAAAAAATAATATGAAAGCTATATATGATCATATAAATAGATTTGACACGGCGAGTCATGAATGATGTGTCAAAAATATCATCCTATAGGAGTCGTTCGGATTCTTTCTTCTGGTTCGTAGCTTAATAAAAAAGACTCATGATTTTACATTTTTACTAATCCTGTTTTTGGCTGAATTTACTTCATTTGCAAGAAACTTCGATTTACCATTAGTCTTTAGCATCAAGCTTATTAAAGTAGATATATTTTGGGAATACTCTTGTCTGATTTTGGAAAATTCATTGCAAGAGAAATGAGGTATTATAAGCCTTTTATAGAGAAGGAAATTAGTGTTCTTCTGTTGAACTAAACTTGATATGAAATGAAAGAATAAACTTTATTCCATGACAATTTTCTAACAGATAATGTCATTACAAATTATTTTATATATAAAGCTTTAAATTATACTTTTCTTACATTAATGTCATTACACATTAATGATTATTCTAGGATACCATAAGCTTAATTTATTCTATGATACTTTTCTTAGAGTGACGGTTAATTCACCTTAGTAATATACCGGAGCTGAAGTGTTGTGCTAATGACGGTTCAATTCGACGCGGAGTAAAAATTTATTTAACTTTAAAAATATAATGAATTAAATGTTAAAACTTTAAAAGTTGAACCCATAGAATTTAAATCTTGAATCCGCCTCTAGTAATATAGGTAGGCCTGTAATCAGACAAAGAAAAATCTATATATAGTAATAAGGTGTTTTCAGCTTCAACACCATTTTCTTGTTTGCCTTCATAGACTTGTGTATTTTCCATTTATTAATTTCAAGTACACTCCAAACCTCTCCATTTTGATTTTGTAACAGCCAAACCATAGAGGTAACTTCTGCATTTTTCATTAATTCTATGCTAAACAGAAGGTGTATTTGTACCTTGATGGCAGCTTTCCTAGGCAACAAAAACTTTTCAGAGTGCAGTAAATAGAACTGTAAATATAGGAGTAGAAAATGCTGTAGTTATTTTCACTAATATTCAAAACGAAAGAACCATAGGAACATGACAAATGACAAATCAGTTGCCAATAGGATTCTCTCCAGTGTGCTACATTTGAAATTCATCAAAAAGCAACTGCCTTTATATCCTTCTCCCCTTACACAATAAACGAATTGCTGCAGAAAAAGATAATTATTTTAATCCAGTATTTGAGGCAGATATAGAATAAACATGAAATATAGTAATCAATAAGTTGTCACTAAATGATACTAGAAATCAGCATATCAGAGCATTATCATGACCAGAAAGCAGAATGCAAATCCATCTGAGCCCGAGAATTGGTAAGTTTTGACACACAGATTACTTGACGAGGCAAATCTTGATAACGGATGCAGCACCAATACGATGAAGTGCCACAACAGCATCACCAGGTTTGCAGAGCCCTTTCGCTACGGCTGATTTCAGGGAAGCTTCCAAGATCACCTCAGTTGATTCAGAGTCAGTGGCCTTTGCAGAACCTTCGGCAAGAATCGGTATCAAGCCCCTGTATACCAAACTATGCCTAGCTGGCGTCTCATCGCTGATGGACCAATCAAAAGAATCTGTGGTCAAGACAGGCACAACGACAGATAGAATAGGAACAGCAGGCCTATACTTGGCAACCAGCTTTGCTGTAGTCCCGCCACGTGTAAGGACAACAATGAGTTTTGCATGAGCCTTGTTAGCCGTGCGGACAGCGGATGACGCTAGACTCTCTAGTGGACTCATTGGAAGAGGGGTACACCTGATCATTTCCTTGAAGATAGCCCCATAGTCAAGTGAAGACTCTGCCTCGATACAGATTTTTGACATGATTTTTACTGCCAGCTCAGGATAAGCCCCAGCTGCACTCTCCCCACTAAGCATAACGCAGTCAGTGCCATCCAAGACAGCATTAGCCACATCGGTTGCCTCAGCACGGGTAGGTCGTGGAGATTTGATCATTGATTCAAGCATCTGAGTGGCAGTTACCACAGGCTTACCAGCAAGATTACACTTGTATATCATCATTTTCTGGGCCAAGAAAATCTTCTCAACTGGAATTTCCATTCCAAGATCACCTCGAGCAACCATAAAAGAATCTGTCTCACGTAGGATTTCGTCAAAGTTAACTACCCCCTCTTGATTCTCAACCTTCAAGACAATTTTAGAAGATAAAAACATCAGAGGATGCCACAACTAGTTAGCAGTCAAATATTTGGGAAGAAGTCTAAAATGTTAATTTAGATTACATAATCCATCGCATGTTTTATGTTCGTTTCTCCTAAGCAATACATGTGTTTCAAAATTCAACCATACCTTCTAAATATAAAAGATTAAATGACTCTGTATACCTTTGACATTAATTGAATGTGCTTGGCATGTGGACCAAGAACCTTGCGAACATTGACAAGATCTGAACCCTTACGCACAAATGAAAGAGCAATCATATCAATGTTGTTAGGAACACCCCACTCTAGTATATCCTCCTTATCCTTCTCTGTAAGTGTTGGGAGGTCCACAACCACACCCGGAAGATTTACATTCTTCCTCTCTCCTAAGGTGGCAGTATTCTCGCAGCGACATCTCACTGTTCCACCCGCTGGATCACATGACAGAACAGTAAGGGTTATGGTACCATCTGCACACAAGATGGTATTGCCCGGCTTCAAGTCCACTACCAACTTCTTATAGCTCATCGTGATTGTTTGTTCATCTCCTTTTAGGTCATAGTCTGTAGACACAGTGATTTCTTGGCCTTCTTTCAGCTGAATTGGTTTTCCATCCTTTAAGAAACCAGTGCGAATCTCAGGCCCCTGAATAAAATGTGTATTAGTTCAGCACCTACGTAACAAATTGAAGCTACAGAATAGTCGCACATCCAGAAGAAAGGAAAGGTCTTAACCAGTACTCTTGAATTGTCATAATAGCATCATTTAGGATAATATTAACCATCAAGAACCCAGGAAAAATGCAGCAGTTTCTAGAAACGGGAAAATAAAGAGCAAAAAATGATAACCTTATTCTGAATTAAATAATACAGAGATAGAAATATATATGACAGAGCACAGAAAATGCCTGAAGTTATGAGCATACACATGTAGTTTATCCTATAACAGAACTATGGTTACATGAAAACAGTGCAACACCCTGCCCCCGAATAATTAACAACAGACCCAGTGTAATCCCACAAGTGGGGTCTGGGGAGGGTAGTATGTACACAGACCTTACCTCTACCTTCAAGAAGGCAGAGAGGCTGTTTCCGGAAGACCCTCGGCTTAGGAAAAATAAAAGAAGGGCAGCAGCAAGCACACCAATTAGAAAACCGAAGCAAAAATACAAAGATACAAAACTAAAACTGAGTATTGTAATCAGAAGGCTGGAACAAAAGCAACGACAAGTAAATGCTGCATCATTTGGTACAAGTCTAAGTCACACAGTATATGAGGTACCACTCTAAAGAAACCATCTAACTTCCCTTAACCAATAAAACTGCCACCTAATATAAAAAAAAGTGATTCTTACAGTAGCTTTGAATTCTTTCTCTTTCGATATTTATTATTTCATGGATATTACGAAGAACTGTAGATGAGACAATTACTCATAGGAGCTTTCGGAGGAATAACCATTGTGCAGCTTTTGGTTAATTTGGAATCGAAGGAATAGAAGAATGCTTTTGTAACAATAAAAGAGACATAAATAGAACATTTCATTTATTCTTTTTGTGCAAAGAGAAAACACCTGTGCGTGAGATCATCGAGATACATTGGTAGTAGAATGTGGATAAGTGAACTATACAACGCTGTGGGTTTATTATTGTAACACAAACTTTGTGTTATATTAAATGTTGAATCATCTTTCTGCCTTCACATGTATTTTCTTTCTTTTGACTAAATTAAAATATCATCTTCTTCGAAATCTACCATCTATGGCGCTTAATCTTCTGAACTTATATTTTACTGCAAGGCCATAGTCAATAGAAGATCAAAGTTTTCACTAATATATATGCAAAATGAGGATAAATCTAAGAATGCTTGCTGGAGGCTGCAATGTCTCGTAATCGGAACACAGGGCTTTAAGAACAAGCAGAAAATGAAGAAAACCACAAAGAGATCGTATTAAAGTGTGAAAAAGCTCCATACTGGAAAAAGTAATTGCCGGATAGCAGAGGTAATTGGTTAACAAAGGCTCCACACTCACTTTTCTACAAATATTATCACTAAACAAAATTATTGTCTAGTGGTTAATAAAGACTAATCCAATCGAAATATTGCACCTGGACACCTGGTTGAGGTATATCTTCAAGCAATACCACACCAAAATTATGGCCAGCTCAAAATTACTTTATCCTTCTCCATTTCTCTAGACAAAAGACTTGTCAAACTAAAAGATACTAAATAAAAACAAAGTACTGTGGAAAGAAATGCACCTTGAGAAAAGATAATTTGTTTTTTTTTTCTTTGAGAAGGTAACATAAAATAAAAGATAATTCGGATTTCCCGACATTTGACTTCCAAACTTTAAAAGATCAGTTGTGTACTGTAGCCAGTAAAACAAACCTAGCTCGCGAGGGATTTCAAGATACAACCACATAAACATCTACTTATAGAAGTACAAAAATCAAAAACAGAAAAAGTAACAAATGACAAAACCAGCTGCACAAGAACAAAGTTGAAATAGAAGAAAAATAACAGATAAACGCAAATATGCATCAAAACCAAACCTTGGTATCAAGCATGACAGCACAGAGGATCTGAGTGTTTTGCATAGCAATCTTAAGATTGTTTAAGGTTTCCTGATGGTACTCGTGGGTCCCATGGGAAAAGTTAAACCTGGCAACATTCATTCCAGCACGAAGGAGCTTCTCCAGCATTGGCACTGATCGAGAAGCTGGCCCTAAAGTGCAAACAATCTTGGTCTTCGGGATACGTCCATCATTTGGGAGATCCTTCATGATTCCAGTTATGTCTATGTTAGCCATCCTATATATCTGCTTCAAAAGGACAAAACTCACTCTTTTTCAGAAACACATATAACTATAGCTCATTACGGAAAACACTTTGATAAGCAATGGCGGACCCACATGTACTCAAGGGGCTCGTCGGAAAATTACATTGTGTAGCTAGATAAAGAAAATATTATGTATAAACACTATTTATTGACACTCATTAGCTTCTTCGTGAGTTTACTTTTATATATTTTGACCTACTTAGTGAAAATCTTGGCTCTGCCACGATTAATAAGTAAACATTTTATTGATTTGTGCCAAGAAAGTGCTAGTAGCAAATATGGATCTTGATTCCTTAGATCTGATTTGCTTGTTATTGAAAATTATGGCGATTAGAAACACACTAATAAATAGAGGCAGGGTTTGACTAAAGACAAAGATGAACTGCCCTGTATATTCCATTAACTTTAAATACAAGTGATTAAGTGAATATGAAACAACAAAAAGGTTAAAATTCCCAGGACATAATGTTCAAAACTTCACTACAGTATGATTCAAGAAATTACTGTACTTCCAACTTTAACAACATGGCTAAGAATAAAGCATAACACTTTCTCAGATGGTAAAATAGAAATTGGTAAACAAACCATGTGAATAACTTTGAAAAGCCAAAAGATTAAAACTTTAGATATACATGAAAAGATCTCATGAACTATTAACAAAAGAGGATCCAAGAAATATTATGAGGGATTCTGAGAGGGTGAAATCAAAAGCAAAAAACATTAATCGTTTCTCAATCTGATACTTCAGATCAGCAAAAAAAAAACACTAAATCAAATACCCAAATGACCAAAAACAAGAAAAAACCACAAAAAATAAAAACTTTACTACAAACCAAGTATTTGAACAAGTCTTAGAAGCAAAAATGGAGTAGAAAAAAGGAGCTCACCAAGTTACAACAGAAGCTACAGATTCAAGATTTTGCTGCTGCTTCTTTTTTGGGGGTGTTTGGCCAGATTCAACTATGTGCTGGGGAACTAAAAATATCAGTTGCTTTTATATTATAGGTTATGAGTAGGAAAAAAGTGCAAAGTACAAGAGAGGACAAAAGAAAATGTAAAAGAAAAAGAGTAGTATTAAACGGTGGGCTGCTCTAATACCAAATGACCAAAGTTGACTATCACCCATAAAATGCCCTTTCGATTAAATACCCTTTTTTTAATCTAGCCATCAAATTTACTTACTTTTTCTAATCAATAAATATTATAAATTCTATATGAATTATAAATACATTATATATAAATAAATATATATTATACATTTTATTTTTTATTTAACTGGTTAGATCGACGACTATGTAAGTTAATTCTATCTTTTTTTCTCCAAGAAATATACGTAGGCATTGGACATAGATGTAATTTACAATTATTATCTACAAATTAATATATTTGTTATTGTAAACTAAAAAAAGAATAAGTGAACTTACGAGTTTCAACACCTCAGTATTATTTAGATCAGCTATGTAAATTCTTTGTATTAATCTCATTCTATTTGGACACCAATACTGATAGCTGATTTAAATTTCAAAGAAAATAAAAGCTTTTTAAAGCTGGTATATAATTTTGAAAATAAAAAATAAGAATTACAAGAATATACATTTAGTCTCAATATGTTGGCAGCTAACAAATCCCTTAAAATTCAAAAAACAAATACTTCTATTCAAATATTTTTTCCAAATTTGATTATAAAAATCAAAGTATAATTTTCAGTTTCAAGTTTTAGTACTCCTCACCAAGTTAATTATCTTTACTTTAGCTCCACCTAATAGTGTTCTTACTTATTCAAACTTTCAACTTACTTGTTCTAAAACAAATATTACTCATCTAAATGTGTCATTTTATCTACAAAGTACAATTTTATTTTTTAATGTTATTGTGATCCTTTGCAAATCTAAATACAAAATTTTCTTTTACACTCGAACTATTTCAAAAGAGAGGGAAAAAAATAAAGAAAAAAAGAAAGAAAGCTAACTTCCCATCTGAAAGTGTGGTAGGCTGAACTAGTTGTCTTTACAGTGATTCTGCGGTGCTTGTTTAATTTAATATAAGTAAAAGGAATATTATGGCATCACCTAAAAGAGATACTTTGCTACAGAGCTGATGTCGACATATCTCTCATGTCATGAATCATCTCGGCTGCTGCTCTTTTTGGCACTTAATTTATTCTATTTTCAGACGTGGAGCATTCAAACATTTATAAAATTATTTTCAGATGACCTATATATTATGGATTAAAATCGTAAAAATAGTCACTAATACGTGCATTAGGATAGATAGTTTACGTCACATCCTTTAAGATACGGCTTTTTCCCGAATTCAATTTGAATACAAAATATTTTTTACACCGGAAAATCACTTCTTATCCTTTCAAATCACGGTGTTATACGTGGCCTCTTGTTTTAATCACATCCTCTTTACCCCATCAACACAAAAAAACAATTTATTGATCTACTTTCAAATCATGGATGCTATACGTGGCTTCCTTGTTTTAACTTCATCCTCTTCGACCCATCAACACAAAAACCAATTTATTTTGGTATAGTGCAATAGTTTTTTTTAATAAATATACTGTATGAGAGATTTCCCAGCACGTAAGAGAGATATAGAGTACCAAAAATGTCCTTACCAATTAATTTATTTTGCATTTAGTGGAACATACATCTAAGCCATATCAATTATTTTTGTAGTACGCATCCGATATCCACAACATACTAGTTCTATTAATTCGGATTATATTATAGGTTTACTAAAAGAGATAAAGTGATAAATTACTCTCTACCAAAAAGTTTTTTATTTTTAAGGGTCGAAACCAAAGTCCGAAGAGATCTTAACCTCTATCACATCCCATAAAGATAACAAGTCATATGAATGGCAAAATGTGAATATACTCAACAATTAATATTTAAATATAAAAAGATATCAATCTTTTTTAAATGATTACAAAAGAAATTATTATTAAACCATTGATTAAATACAAAATTAAAATAAAATAGGGGTGACTTTTTGATAGATAAGCGAAATATGTATTAAACACCAATAGTTAAGTTCAAGCAAAATTCACAACAAAAAATAATGCAAATGCTCGTAAAAGCATCTTATTAAAGATAAAAATAAAAATACTAATATTAGAGGTTGCTAAATATAGGAGTGTACCAATATATTTTGCACGAGAACAAAAAGAAAAGAGTGCAAACAATTTATAACATACAGGGGCGAAGCTACAGTATAGCAAGGGTGGTCAACTGACCACTCTTTGTTGAAAAATGTCGGAAAATTAACACTGTGTATATAGGTAAAATTTTGAATTTATATGCATGTAATACATATTGAACACCCTTGCAACAATGAAGAGTCATAGCTCAGTGGCAAAGGGTGGTCAAGAGGGCCTTATGGGCGCGGTTTCGAGCTTCACTCTCCACAATATTTATTTTTCTTGTTCAAGTTTGAACACCCTTGAAATATTTTCTAGATTCGTCACTATGACAGAAGTAATCAACAAGGCTACTATTACACATATTTGGAGGGAAGCGAACAAATGTGCAGACGTTTTGACTAACGAAGTTCACAATCATGAAGAAGCTATATTAAATCTGGGAGGTGCCGCTCAAGGAAATGGAGTTTCTTTACATGGCTGAATCAAGCAGTGTAGTTTACAGAGATTTAAGTAATTGTCTTTAGTCGTTCCAAATGTAACAAAAAAAAATAGCTAACTTTTGTTGGCAAATAAAATTAGGTATAACAATATTTCCACCTCTCCTTAATTTTATTCTTAAATTGATTCCAGCAATCCATCAATCTTCTGAGTTTAGAATGTCATTGGACCAATATCTTTCAAAATCTAGAAGACAATGACAGAGAACGAAAAACTTAGAATTACTAGTACTAAAACATTAAAGTATCATCCGTCTAATAAATTAAAAGAGAAAGATACTCCACAAGAAACACTGACCCTACATAAATATTAAACTTAGGCATATTATGTAAAATAGATATGTTTACCCGTAAAACGGTACAGTTGAATTTATATATGATTTCTAGATAAGTAAACTAATTTGATCCTAAAATAATGCAATAATTGAAGAAATATACAATACTTAGCCTTGAAATGTAGATGAAACAACAGAGATGACAATTCCGGGAACAAGGTTTCCGAGCACAGCAATAATAAGATCAAAAAGCAAAAAAATAAGATTGTATTAAGTTTTGTATAGAATATAGTGTAAGTCTTGCCAGAAAATTTATGTCCCCTACAATGATCATTGAGCTCATTATTTATAGCTATGAAGAAGGTACTTGGGTCATGCCCTTCTTTAATGTTAATTATGACAAGTATTGATAAAGATGTACTGGTGAACATAAATGTCAAATTCTCTATAACGGACGGTCGCTCTTAATGCTGTAAAATATTCCTTATTAAATATTACCGGGCGTAGAGCATTTAATGTCTTTATGAACGTTATCCCTTCCGGTGACACGACGCTCGAAGCTCATTTTTGGAAAGAACTGGCCCTGAAATACGGGTGGAAGGCCAAAAATCATGGTAATTTGAACTTACCTTGCTTCCATTTTTCTTTATTTTGTATATGGAGAACTTGATTGAATCCTTCCGACTTGTTCACGAAATTAGGTCTACCTGCGGGCTCTGTTGCTATCCCCGAGGAGGACGTTTTGTCTGATCCTGTTGATGCAGCGAGGCTGATTCAGGAAGCACTTACTCGAACAGGTATCTTCGGGCCTGTTTCGGGCGCAAACACTTCTTCACGGAGACCCCGGTCGAAGGATAAGCAACCAAAGAGAAGACGTTCCTCCGCGGCAGGGGAGAAGAATAAGAGGGCAAATACTGATGTCCCCGAGCCATCTCCGATGGTGATGATGACTGGTCCTCCTTCTGGGCCGGTCATAAACACTGTGATTATTGATAATGATGAAAAAGCTAGTGATGAGGGAGCTTCTCTTCATAGAAGGTGATGAACCTCATCATCTCAACAAGATGCTCAACCTGTTGAGACAGTTACACCAACCGAGGACGATGTCTCGGCACTTTGGAGAGAATTTGATTTGGTAGATAATGCCAACTCCCGTTCTCGGACCCCAATTGATGTGTCCGGTACTGTGAGGACGAGTACCGGATCTTTGCCGTCTTTGGTTGGCGAGCATCCAACATCCAGCACTGTATTTGACACAGCTACTTCTCACTCTTCAACTACATCAGCTTCATCTCCACCTTCACCAACACCAGCAACTGCTACATCACTTCCATCTCCATCCACTCTTCTACCTATAGTTGCTACATCACCTCCATCGGCCACATCTGACCATGAAGAAGGCGTTCCTCTTCCACAGTCCCCAGTTCATAAGAATTTGGAAAGAAATTATGTTGCCCCTTTTAAAGATCCACAAAGGAGGAGGAATGTTACTCTTTTGGTCTTTACCGGGTACAACCTGTTTTCCCGGTCGGTGGAGCTTGCTAACTATCTGAAGCCTTTGGCTTCAGAGAAAGATTGGAAAAAGATTCAAGTACTCTCGGGGGAGTGTTTGTTGAACAATGCCATGCACAATGCTGCAGCGGTGCGTCCTTTTCTTCCTTTGTTTTTTTCTACTTTTGTATGAATGTATTCTAAGTTTTACTTCTTGTTTTGTAGGCCAACTTTCTTGTTTCTGAGGGCCTTCAGAGGTTGATTCGTGAGGAGGAGGAACTTGCTTCTTAACAGAATCAGCTTTTGGTGGAACGAGACCGAACTGTTCTCCGCCTATCGGAGCTGGAAACCAAAGCTACTAAGGTTGTTGTTTTGGAAGCTCGTTTGCATCAGAGCGAGAAAGAAGTGGTAACCCTTAGCCAAGAAATTGGCCCGCTGAGGGTTAGATTTGATGAAGCCAATGCCAAATGGGTTGAAGTCCAGGATGTCGTTCTTGCTGCAATTGAGTGTGAGGCAGATATTGGTGAAAAAGTGACTGACTTAGAAGTGGCCTTGAACTCCAAAATAAAGAGCTTGTTGTTGTGGAGGAGAAACACACCAAGC